GAAAGCTATTTTGGTATGCTTATGTACTGGTTGAATGATACTATACCTCCCCTCCTCTATATCCAGAACATTCTCTGGAAGCTGAACATTCGTGGTCTCAGGTAGAAGGAAGACCACACATCCACTGAGAACTGCAGTGACAGCAAACACTAGAGAGGGTGCAAAGCGCCACATGTCCTCGAATAAAATGACCATGGGAGCCAGCGAACCTCCAATACGGGCTATAAAAGAGGTGTAGCCCAAGCCGCACTGCCTATGAAAGATACAGAGAAGCAGAGAGTTCATTCATTCCAAAAACAAGGGGCCATAGTTATGGATAAACTGTAAATTTTACCAATTTAAAAGTGTTGTTCGGCCCTTTTCATTCATTCATTCAATCAATCAAAACATTTTTAATTACCGGAGTACAGTAGGGTAAAGCTCAGATGTGTACAAGAAGGCAATGGTAAACGCTGCCTCAGAGAATCCCTTCCCAATAACTGCAATCCCTGTACGCACACCAGCAAAGTCTGTGGATGAAACAGCACAACAAAACCAACACATTATTTCTTAAATAATTAATATCCACCATAAAATTTGGAGAGGCAGCATGATAAACAATGAATGAATACCTGTTGGGATTATACTGTTTAGTCCAATCAGAGCTCCTGCTATAATGAGAGACCACGCCTGGCCATTTCTGCGACCAATCCGATCCAGAGTGAAGTAGGTCCCGACCTTAGCTGGGACTTCAATAACTCCATAGACAAATTGCGTGAGATAGATGTTCAGGCCAAACCCAGTGATGTTGAAGCTGATGCCATAGTAGGTAAAAGCAACTGCAAACCTGTAGATTTAAATAAACACTGTTGATTCACAGCTTTTGACTGTTATATCACAACGGACAACAAAAAAGCTCCTCACATACCAGAAAATCCCTGAGAAAAACACAATCTTCCTCAGTTTCGGTGTCCTCACTAGATCAAGGTAGGAATGATTCTTGTTGGAGACCTCACTAACGGTGATTTTCTTTAAGGTCTAAACAGGTGACAGTCAAAATGATTGATTTAGTTTTTAATGAAGAGGTAAAGGATGAGATCAAAACTGATTATCATAATAATAAATAAGAGTATAGCTAGATATGTTTACCTCAGTGTCTAGTTTATGAGTGTAACTGTACTTTCCATTCATCTTAGCACACTGAATGAGATACTTCTGTGCCTCTTCCACCCTGCCATTGGCCAGCAGCCATCTTGCTGACTCAGGAATCCACCTTTTGAGATCAAATGCACACGAGACAAATATTCTTGTAACTTAAAGCACATTTACATACATAAAAACATACATTGTTAGTTTAAAAATAATACTTTTTATATTTTTTTTATATTTGTTAATTAATAAATAGAAATCTGATAATCTTTTCTTCTTCCACATTATCTTGACTAATTCATATTTGAAATCCATCAATTTTTCATGTCCAATATCCAGTTATTCTTTCACTTGCAGTTCCACCACTCACCACCAGGCAATTATGCCAACAAGGCAGGGTGAAGTCACTACCAGGATGAGGTGCCTCCAGTCCCTGATGAGATATGCCAGAAGAGCCAAAAGCATGTTCCCTACACTCCACCCGAGACTGATGATGGTTCCCGTAAATGTGCGATGTTTAACGTCTGTCCACTCAACACCTGAAGATTGAGCAAATTTATAAAGGTATTAACAGCCATGCAAATAAACATCAAAATAACATAACCAAGTCTGTGAAAACTAAGTGTGTCTGGTAGAGTTTTAAAGGGTTAGTTCACCCCATAATGAAAATTCTTTCATTAATTACTCACTCTCATGTTGTTCCAAACCCGTAAGACCTTCGTTCATCTTCGGAACACAAATTCAGATATTTTTGATGAAATGTGAGAGCTCTCAGACCCTGCATAGACAGCAACGCAACTGTGATGTTCCCAGGTCCAGAAACGTAGTAAGGACATCGGTAAAACAGCCCATGTGACATCAGTGGCTCAACTTCAGTTTTGCGAAGCTACGAGAATACTTTTTGAGCGCAAAGAAAACAAAAATATCATAATTTATTTAACAATTCTTCTCCCCCGAGTTACGTCTTCCGCCATTTTGGAGAGTAGAGAAAGCGCGCGCATGAACGTAATCTGCGTAATCAGCATTGTTTACGTTCGGGGGAGAAAGCGCGCGCATGAACGTAATCTACGTAATCAGCATTGTTTACGCTTAGGGGAAAGCGTGCGTATGCATTGTGATACTCTCTAAAATAGCGGAAGACGTAACTCGGGGGAGAAGAATTGTTGAAAAAAATATGTTGTTTTTGTTTTCTTTGCGCTCAAAAAGTATTCTCGTAGCTTCGCAAAACTGAAGTTGAGCCACTGATGTCACATGGACTGTTTTACCGATGTCCTAACTACGTTTCTGGACCTGGGAACATTACAGTTGCGTTGCTGTCTATGCAGGGCCTGAGAGCTCTCACATTTCATAAAAAATATCTGAATTTGTGTTCCGAAGATGAACGAATGTCTTATGGGTTTGGAACGTCATGAGGGTGAGTAATTAATGACAGAATTTTCATTTTTGGGTGAACTATCCCTTTAAGAGGGACTGTGTCTTTTATTCTAAATCAACATGATATAGGTTCTAAACCTGTTTTTCTTATGGAATTTGATGTAAAAACGTTTGGGGTTAGATTTTTTTGTTCCTTCCTTCATGAATCATGACAAATCATTTACAACAATATAAACAGGATCAGCTTGGCTTTCATGTTGACTAGAGAGATTGAAAAGAAATGAGAAAACGGATAGATACACAGAGCCACTGTGGTGATAGACATCCCGGTCAGGGCCAGTCCACACAAGGTTCTTGCTATGGCGAACATCACGTAAGATGTAGAAAAAGCTTCAACAATTCCAAAAACAGAACTGGCCACAAAGGAAACCTGAATCATCGGCTTACGGCCAAACCTGTGGATTGATATAAAAGATATATTTGACCATGCAAGATATTCAAACATTAAAAATCACATGGGAAACAGCGAGCACATTCTCTGTCTTGCTTGTTACACAGATAGCCTGAGGTAAGCAGTTTTGGATGTGTGACATGCTCCGTGACAAATAATGAGTGAAAGAATATTTGAACTCTGTTGTACAAGCAAATAATGATTATGAATATGTACTAGTCAGCTATGCAGAACAAATCAAGCAGAATTAATCGTTTTTCAACCTCAGACATGTGAGTAAAGACACTTTATTGTAGAAAAGTCATGCGACCGGCTTTCCGCCTAAGGAATCTTGTATAAGGTTCATTGATGAAAGAAATATGAGAAAATAAACAATCATAAGTAAAAAGCATGGAACAAATGGTTCTAAAACATAATATTAATTTTTTTAAAAATAACATACTTATCTGCCAACTGGCCAAACATGATAGCACCTATTGTCACTCCGATGAAGAAAAATGTGGCAAGGGCTTGGTTTAGACTTTTGTTGTCACATACCAAATCCCACTGGAAAAAGAGAGACAAATCATACCTTAATAAACAAGAACAAAGGATATTTAATATTTCTGATTTCGTTAACATATTTATTACAGAATATATTGGCGAAATAATGTCCATAAATAACATGGGACGGTACCCTTTCAAAATGTACGGAAATGTACACTATAGATACTAACATGTACCTTTAAGGTATTAATATGTACCATTTAGGGGTAAATAAGGTACAAAGACCTTTTAACTTTTGTGGTAGATATAATAAGTAACTTGGAACATCATCAACATATAAAATACAGGAATGCATCTTGTACATTCTTACCTCAGTTGCGGTTGTTGAGGTGAACTGTGAGCGGTCATATACAAATCCGTGCTGGCATGGCACCGACACATTTGATCGGTTTCCATACACTAGGGAGAGGTCACCATTTGGGTCAAAGTCCAAGGGAAGGGGGTACATCTTGCAGGAGCTGTAGGATCCATCTGCATTACGTGGGATGCCAAGTGCCAGAATCTGTGCCGACACCTTTGTGCCATCCTTCTCTGTGCCAGCTGCGTACTGGTCATCCAAGTGAGGCAGGGCACAGTGGTGGGGTGGCACACCTGAGATGAAGTTGTGGAGCAGGAAGTGCAGTGGAAGGATGATGCGTGGGAGCCATAGGATGTATAAAACCAGAAACTGGAACTTGTTGAAGCCACCAATTTCATGAAGGACGTCCTCAAACCTCATAGCTGAAAGTGACAAATAAAAGCTATAAAACAGATTTGATATTCTTCTTTGTTCCAAATGAACGTTCTACTCACCCATCAGAATCTAGATCTTCTTGATGAAATTTGCTCTGCTCTGGAGAAACACTTGGGTCGGTCTATAGTGAACGGCAAGCAGAGAGTAGTCCGAGGAGATGTGTGATGCTGAATTGATATATGTTATCATTACACTGTTCCCGGTCACGCTTTTCGGGGCCTGTTTGAGGCACAAGAAGGTCTTTGTTTTGGTAAGGTCAAGAAAAAGAAGAGTCCAGGGCTTAAAAGTTCACTATCCCTCACCTGACTAGATGGAGAGAGGAAATAGAAAATACATTGGTTCCAATTACCTTTTTTGGATTGAAAATAACAAGTTAGATATCTGAATTAAATATGAAAAGAAGAAAAGCCATTTTACCACTTTTTTCTTTTTATTGCAAGATTTGGTCAATTTAATTTCAGATATTTAAGAAAACACCAACAAATATAAAAATCACAATTAAAATATTGCTTTTTTAAATTATGTTATTAATTTATAAAACAACGTTGTAACATCCGATTCTGTGGGGGATTCAGATGTCATCTCAGTAAAGAGTCATTGTCTGATTCAAACTGGTAATGTGAGTGAGTTTGTGAATATTTTTGGCTGACTCGTTAAAAAAAGAACCAGTTTGTTTTATGGAGTTTTTGTGTATATTTTTTTCAAAAACTGGAAAGAATGTGGAATGTGTCTCATGTGAAAAACAACAACATAACACGATTAAGACTCAGATCATTTTATGCTCCTTATTCCAACAAAAATCTTGATTAACATCTCACCATTGTAATAAGAGCAAAAGAGGTGGGAATCGTTCATTTAGAAATAATCCGTATTGACAATTATTAATAATGGTGTAATTTCTGCCATGCTTAGAAAATGAGACAACTCGGTGTAGAACCCACAATATATTCCTTTAACAAAATTCAAATCCAAATCTTTCACTATTTCCCTTGCCTGATAAAAATAAAGAGGTCTCTGCAAGAAATACTGGAAAGAATATGTACAAGCATACAGCAGTATCATCAAACACTTGTAACAAGCTAAAGACAAGGCATGCCCATCATCACAAGGTTTACAAAGAGGGCCGAGCTGCAGACCAGAGGACATTTGTGCATTTGTCCATAGATATGTGGCAGATTTTACAACGTTCTGTGTCTGGTGGTTTATAATAATTTGTGCTGGCTAAATACATGTAATATACTGTATGATTGTTTCAGATGTTATAAATAAATTTACATAATCATTTTATCATTATTGTGTGTCAAGAGCCAAAGACAACTTGGCATCTAACTAATAATAAAGTACACCTTCAAAAACCATATATTAAATGAAATATACACAACAGAACAACACATATACAGTATAGCACCATGTAAGCTAAATGTGACATTTCCTCTGTTATGTAGAAACTTCCATCAAAGTGAAAGTTCTACATCTTAAAGTACAACATAAAATTATTTGGTGCAGAATCCAAAATTGGAACTAGCCATTCATTGATTAAGAAGAACATTAAATTAATTAAAAAGGTTAATTTTGGTCAATGGGGCAGATTACATTTTGAGGCAATATGTTCAAGTAATTGAGAAGAAACGATCCCAGTAAACAGCAGTCACTTATCTGTCTGCAGCTGTGTTGTTGCTTGTGCTTTTTTCCCTTTTCAAGGGAACTGAGTTCTTCGAATGAGCAGAAGCTTTGGTTCGATCCCTGACACATGTAGTGGTGGGTTGGTTTGGTGATGGTTTGATGTCCTTTGCAGGACCACTGCAAGTAGTAGTCCTAGACTTCATTAGGAGCTCCACAGTGGCTCGGAGGGCAAATGGCTGCTTGCGGGATTCGCTAACTGCTGTTCGCAGGGGTAGCCTATGGGGTGAAGGACTAGCTATACGGGTTGAAGAGAAAGTGCAGTTTGTGGTGCTCAAGCTGCGGCGGGATGATGCCGGAATACAGGAAAGAGGCATGTGATTGCTTCCACTTGACATGGTAGAGCGGGACAGTGTTGATTTTGATCTTGTGTGAAGTGCTGGAGCACTTGATCCTGATTGTGACTGTACTTTTGGGCTAAGGTGAAAACACACACACACACATATATCTATTTAATGTATCACCTTATGGTATGCTGTAAACAGGGTTGAGCAAAATGAGTGTACATGTAATAAAATTCAGTTATATTAAACTAGACTTACCCATTGCTTGCCTTTTGTTCAAATTTTGCAGTCCCAGCTTCAGGTTGGATGACAGGAGCTGCAACTACTAGTTTAGTTGAAGGCTTCCTTATAGGTGTGACTGGTCGTGGGATCCTGCTGTGCCACTCAGCTCTGTACTTTTCCTCAGCCTCCTTCTTGAGCTTGTTGATGGAATCATCAGATTCATGAATATCTTCCTCTGAGCCCGTAGTAGAAAGAGTCTCTGAAGGTCTCTTGGGCTCGTCTCCAGAAGATAACGAGGACGAAGTCCTGGAATTCAGTCTCATCCAGTGACCCTGACGTTGTCTTTCCACAACTTGACGGGCCAGGTCTTGCGGCATGGCTCTTCTACGTAGTCGTTCTTTGTTGGACAGGGATTGTTCAGATCCTGGCTCCTCTTCTGGGACTAGGATAGGAATTCGACTCTTGCTCCTTGGCCGTGGATGTTTAGAAACACTCTCAGGTACTGTGTCCTCCTCTTGATGTTCCTCTTTTGGTTGCATGTCCTGTTTGGAGTCAGTTGATGAATCTTGATGGATAGGCTCCCTGGATTCTAAGGGTAAAGGAATCACAAGACCGTCCTGTTTTTCACCGGACTCATTTGGCAAAGACCCATCCTGAACATTGAGTACCTGAGGCCCCTCTGTAAGAGTCTGAGAGGTGACTTCATACTGGACACATGCCACTTCTCCTGGCTCTTGAGAAAGGACTGACTTGTCCTTTATCCACTTGGCCTGTGATTTGCCTTCAACCTCCTCTAAAAGTTCAGGAACCTGTGCACCACTGGAAGACATGACATTCAGATGAGTTGTCTCTGCAATGTGTACAAAAGTTCGCTCCACTTTGGAGAAAGGGGGTGATGCAATTGAGGCTGAAGCCACTTGAGTTGTTGAGATGGTTACCACTGATTTAGATGTCTGTATGGGTGGGTCAACACCAATTGCATCAGGTTGCCTTCCATCTGTAGGTCTCTCTGCCTGTTTTATGTCCTCCTGGATCTGTACCAGTCGACCAACTTCATCCAACTGCTCATTTTGAGATCCTGCCACACCCTGATCCACTTCAGTCCCATTTATAGCATTTGGAGACTTCTTTGTGTCTCCTGGTGAAAACAAGACAAGGGTCTTTGAGATATCCTCTTGGTCGGGATCTACATCAGCCACCGAACCTGGTTCTTTTGGCTCCTTGTGTAGATCATCAGCCACTAAGGTGGATGGAGCCCCATCTTGACTACGTTCAGTGCTCTTTTCGCTTGCCCCACTACTAGATTCACTCTTCGTGACATCGTCATCTCTGGGTCCCTCATCTTGTGTCTCAGGTGGTGTGGCTGTGAAGGCCCATCGCTGGTGTAGGCTTCCTGTAAGCATGACGGTGAGGAAGTCAGCTCTCTTTGCCTGCAGTTTAGGAAGGATGTGGAATATCTCCTTCTCTGATGATGGGGATTTAGTCCTGTAGTCAGTGGGTAACAATAAAGGCTCACTCGGGGTTGGACCCTAAAAGACAGTATACAAATGCAAAAGTTACAATGCCGCCATATTGGTAAGGCAATGTAAGAATAACTATGAGAAACAATGAGATTTTGATTCAGTGAGATCTTCCTTGAAAACACTATGACATTGATAGCCTAACTTACTGTACATGAGAACATACTGAATGGCAGCGGAATTTCAGAATGGAGTTTCTACACTTTTTTCCAACCATTTTATTCATGGATACAATCATTCCTACACATTGTACAACCACACAACTTAACTGTTTTTTTTCCTCAAAGACTTTAATTTTGTTTAAATTGTACACAAGCTTTTCAAGATAGTCTAGATTACATACATAAAAAGGCACAAAAATGTGTTAAAGAATTTTCCCTTTTACAGCATCTAGTCATATTTTGCTTTTTTCAAGTGTATCCCAACATACAGGTTTTCTATACAATACATAGACTAAAACCAACCCCAAAACATGCTTTTACGTATACAGGATTCAATTTATCTTTCGTAGATGTACACATATCCTGTAATTTAAAAAAGTTTAAAATACATGCTTTACTTGGAAATATTACAAGCATACTGTACAGTGAAATTGTTATAGAAAAGGTAATATTCTTATTGTACATCAATCTAACAGATCATAGCCAATTTACATCACATAGCAATACCAGACCGTCATTGTAAATGAAAATCTTGCCAGGTTACATAAAAAGTAAAATAAAACCTTCTGCAACTTATTTTTGCAATTTGTTATTTTACAGCAGACACTTTTATATCACAGCTGTAACCGTTGACAGTTGTTTTTAACTGCAAATATACTGAATACATTAAATATCGACAAAAGTCAGTGCTTGTACCAGCTCCTTTTAGAGCTTTTCTGTTGTTCTGTGTACATTGTTGCTTTTCAGCCAGGTATCGTACTAACATAATAGATTTCATTGTAGCTCAAGTGAAGGTTCTCACCGCTTATCACTCCCTGTGGGCAAGATTATGCTCCGAATGTCCTTGATCCATCGTATCTCCCTACATACATTATATAGAATGCCCCTGCAATCAACAATATATCATACAACATGCACATTACATCTATAATACAGCATTTTCCTTCATATAAAAGGTATTATTGTGACAAAGGCATTGTGTACAGGCAAGTAAAAGTAAAACTCATTAGACATACGAGCAGTTTAGTGGAGTGTGACAGATTACTTTCTTTTTGGCATTTCAGAGCATCACATGCAGATGTTCAGGTAGAGATAAATTAAAAGGCCTTAGAAAAAACATTGTATATAACCTAAAATAAAATCTTTTGAAAAAACATATGGGCCATACTAACACTTTATAATGGTAGATCTTGAAAGCACAAAGTACTCTCTACTGTGCTGCCACTGCTAGTATGCTTCAATGCAAATGTATTTGTCAATTAAATATTCTGAATACTGTCAATTAAATATATTGGGTTCAAAAAGACATCAAGGAAGTTGCTCTGTTAATCACTTAGCATGTAAATCAACAATCAACATACAATTCATGGGAACATATGTCATGAGTCTGGGCCCTGCGTTTCTCCCTCTCTCCTCCAGAGGGCGCCATCTCCCGGACTCCCATTCCCCAAACCCCATACACCTGTTCACTCATTACACTAATTCCCCAAACTCCACACACCTGTTCAGTCACTCACTCATCACACTCACCCTCAGCTGTGCCCCGTTGTCACTGACCATATCTTCACCTCTCACTCACCACTCGGCCTGGTTGTATTGTGTAATGAAATGGTGTTCGTCGTCTCTAGACCTGTTTTTGTTTTGCCTTGTTGGCCTTTCTGTTTAAATAAAGAAGTTTTCACCTGCATTTGGACCCAGACCCTGTTTACACAGTGTGTTTTCAGTACCGAGCCGTGACAGAATACAACCAGCAGACATGGAAGGCAGCGGTGTCCGCTCACAAGTCTTCAGAAGCGGCGGCGCCCGCTCACATTGGCCCTGAGGCGGCGGTGTCCACTCACAGTTCCCCCGAGGTGGCGGTGTCCGCTCACAAGGCTTCAGAAGCGGCGGTGTCCGCTCACAGTTCCCCCGAGGTGGCGGTGTCCGCTCACAGTGCCCCCCAGGCGGCTGCCGGCTCTGCCCCAGTCCCCAGGTCCCCCTTTATCACACGGACCTGGGCCCACCATCCCTCCCCCTACGCCACCCCCGCTCTGCCGTCCCCCTGGTGGGGCGCTCTGGAACGTCTGGAAGCCGTTCCTTAGAGGAGGGGTCCTGTCATGAGTCTGGGCCCTGTGTTTCTCCCTCACATAAAGGCATAACATAAGCCATACAAAATTGTCTTACATTTTCATTTGTTTTCATGGACCAACTCCATTTGTTAGTCATGCAAGAACAAGGTTTTGAACAGCACTGTCTTTCCAGTACTCCCTGGTCAACAGACCTGGACAGTCTCAACAATGTCGACTTTTCTTGCACCATTAATGTCGGTGTCATTTCTGTTAAATTTCTGCTAAAAACATTGATGTAAACCAGGCAAAAGCAGATGTGCAAAACAAGTGCAAGAGTTAGCAGCCTGTTTGAGTATATAAACAGTACATTCATGTGAGAAGCCATGACTGTGACAATACCAGAAACATATTCAAAAACCAAGTCATTCTGAATTTTGAAATGTCTGTGTTGTAATTCAATTTCAAATACTTATTATTCACTCACTGAAGATGCACAATTCAGTAAATGCGATCATATAAAGGTGCAAAAAAAAAAAAAAAAAATCAAAAAGTGACGAGTTTTATGCTAGCGTGAACAAACACTTTTTGTGAAATCCCATATTTAGATTTTATTCTTTTATAACTTTCTTTCTAATAACATGAAGATTATTCAACAAAGGTGCTATTTAACTGCTAAATGTTTATGTCCTACTTATGCACATAATATTTTCTAGAATATGCCCTTATTTTCACTTCTCCTTCTCAGAACAACAACAAAACAATAGTGGATTTTAATTGAGAAAAGGACAAAAGCACACCACCTCTCATACCTCTCAATTCAAAACCATCTTATTGCAATCAATCGCATTTTTTTGTTTCACATCGCCAAGGAAACAGCTATGGCTCCAATTCGGTGTCTTTTTTAAAGTGCAATAGTGAGAAACAGTACTCAAAAGACCCTAAAGCAGTCTTGCACACATACTTTTGCTACTTAATAACATACAACACAAATCTATGCTAACTAGGATGTATTCAATGAGATATAATGCTTACATGGTGCATTCAAAGCTCTATGCACATAAATATATGATTAAATCAAATATGGAAGCTTTTATCTACATACCTTCCTAAACGCACAAAAGAAAAGATGCTATATAATGGAAACTGCTGTCTTTTTTCTTCTTCTTTTGCTTACTTTATGGCTATAATAATTTTAATCAGTGGCAGAGAAACCAAAATCCAGAGTGCTGATCTTTCATTTATGAAAGCATCAAAACAGCTCATTCATTTATCTCAAATTTAGTTTGTAGAAGATAACCAGACTCCAGCATGCCACTCCACTGGTTATAAAAGCATAGACATATTATTCCATTTGCTCCTATGGTTCCATTTTACATTTAAAACACTTTCATAGAACTTGCATAACATCTCCTTTGTGAGGCAAAGCACCTTTAGAGCACAGAAAAATTACAATTTCTTTGTAAAATTGAAAGTCTGTGTAAGGAACATTATGTACTATGAATGATGATTCAGAAAATGCCTGACAGCCTAAATTATAATTAAATATAAAAAAAGTTTTTAAAAAATTAAAAAGTAAAAATACATTAAAAATCGAACGTCATGTTTTTTTTTGCATGGTTGCATGGAAGACAATGAAATAACTTGCATATTAAAGGCAGCGGGTCACTTCAGGCTAAAATAACGTGATCAGGTATATTTCAGGGTGACCACAGCTGCTATGCAGAAATGCAACACACATGCAACTGAGGCACACAAACACAACTGCAGATAATTAAGAAAATTTTGGCTTTGAATACCTTTGCAATATCTATTGAGATTTTTACTCACAGAGTGACTGAAATGACTAAAGCGTCTGTTCATAACAAGCAGAAAGTGCGAGATATGAACAGCCTGTGTAAAAGCACGCCATTCCCTTTAATTAATTATTCCGTTCCTACAGCCCTCTACAGTTTATTGCATCAGAAAAGACTACACCTTCCCTAAAAATAATTAATCGTCCTTTTAACAAACAAAAAAAAAAAGTCTTTCACTTCGGTGTATGAGAAGAGACTACATCAGCTTTCCTCAGCTGTTCTTGTTCATTAGTTTGGCCAGCATCTGCTGGATCTGCAGTCGGGACACACTGAGCATGGAGTGCCTGCTGCGTGGACTTCCAGGTGGGTGCAGGGGAGCGTGACGTCTCGAGCCGCACCGGAGGTTACCGTGAGCCGGGCTGCTTTCGGCTGAGCGGCTGCGCTGGATGAAGGATCCTCCAGCATGAGGGTACTGCTCGGTCTCCAACGTGGAGGATGAGAAGACATAGGAGGCGAGACGTCGTAGCTGGTTAGAGCGCGGGCCTGAGTGTGGCCTGTCATCATCCATCTGAAATAAAACGAGAAAGAGAATGCGTTTAAATTCACGAGCTCAGTGGAGGATTTGTATTTGTAACATTTAAGGCATCTCCCCAGTCGCATGCAGTGAGGAGAACGCCAGACACTCAGAGGAAAGAGAGGAACGGTCTCTCTTTACACAGACCTACAATGGGTTGCCTGGAAACAAGTTTTCACAAGGGACAAAGCTAAAGGGATAGCTATGTTTTTTTCTTTTTGGTTGGGCGGCCAACATTGAGAGCCTCTTTTTTTCCACAGAGGCTGTTCGTTTGATGCAGATCCACCTCTCAAAAATGTGCCATATGTGTCCATGTACAAGACAATGAGCTGAGAGATTCGAGACAAAAGTACTTTAACCATTTTGCTGATTGGTATCGTCAGAAAACCATCGTTGTAACAACTTACAAAAAATGACTCGTCAGGCATACAAACACAAACACACATGGATAAAAATGGGTAAATATGGATAAAAAGATGACAAACAGAAATTAGATAAGAAAAAAACAATGAGCAAGTTCATCAAACAGGTACAAAAGGGACTAGCCTAAACTGTGCTTACCGCAAACACCTCTTTCTTCTTTTGTGGCTCCAGCGACAGCCTTGGTATTTTCTCCGTGGGTGAAATCAACGTGTCATTCGTGATTTTGAGCGAAAGGCCGAGCAAAAGGCAGTGGGCATTTAAAAGGTGAAGACTGCTGGGAAAATGAGCATCCTCATCTGTTTTGATTTGAGCAGCAATCTCAGTTCAGCTTGAAAAGGCTGCGACTGTGTTTATAGCGAAACAACGCAAGGGGCACATTTTTCCAAAGGTAATTCAGAAAAATGCCCCAAAATATATATTTCACATCTTTGTGTTCTGCTATATTTCCTCTTGGCTAAATGAAAGCAATAAAAAACGGCTAACTTTTAAAATGAGCAAAACTGCTGGTCTACTATATGTCATCTGGCTCACCCTAGTGGTAAAGAGCGGCTGAAATCTTTTCACACATTTTGTTTTGGACTATGAGGGATGTCAAACATTCAAATATGAAAATGAATAACTTTAATGTGAATTAGAGCAGTTTTTTTACTGAGCGGTTTAGTGCTGAGCATCCTAAAAAAAAAGCAAACCACAGTCAGAATTTAAGAAATTTGTAAAAACGCTCAGCAGTAGACCCCTCATTTTCAAAAATGCAGTCAAAGACACAAAGACAGTATCTAGGTAAAAAAATATTTGTCTGAAGGACCAGATAGATGTAGCCCTAAACCTCATTAGCAAAGGTCTGGTTTAGCCTTACAGATCAAGAGTTAGAATATTTTATCTAGTAATTTGTCTGGAAGGAAAAAAGAAAAAAGAAATGAAATTTGGGCTATGCACACACTGCAGCTATTGTAAATATGGTTGTCACTCCTCTTCTGAGTGTTTAACCTGTTCTGTTCACACTGAGTTATTTACATGATATAAAGGGATGTAAATGTTAAAGGGACAGTACACCCAAATATGAAAATTCTGTCATTATTTACTCTTCCTCATGTCGTTCCAAACTGTCGACCAAAACTGTTTGGTTAACGCCATTCTTCAAACTATCTTTCATATTCCACAAAGAAAGGTTTGGAATGACATGAGTGTGAGTAAATGATAATAGAATTTTCATCTTAATATCATCATCAAGCTATCTTCATCAAACTGTTTAAAGAATCAGCAACTGAAATTTTATTAAATCCATGTAGTAGAGTGTACGGAACGAAACTGAACAGCTAGTTAATGCAATGAAATCAGCATGAGCATAAACACAACACGCACAACGGCCTCAGTGGACAATGGTTTCATAACAAATGGAATACGATTTGTTTGGTATTCATGTTTCTTGTCTACAGTCGCAAGATGTAAAAATATCACTGTGGTCACACATCCATATTGCAAGGCTGTAGTATGAAAAACTCATTATTCTTTACATATGATAATTATAGCTTTTTGATATACACTCGTACATTGTATCTTTGCAGTGTGTACATGAGCAGTTTGAATACCCCCTTAGTTACAGCTCAACTTCTGCATATAACACATTTTCAAAAGACCAACCATGAGCAAAGAAGAATCATTATATTGCACCAAATCATGTGAAAACCAAATGTTTGATGTTCAGAAAAGAAGAGATGAGGCATGAGTCTGTGTGTCAGACATAGTGAATTATAGAGAGAGTGACAGACACAGAGAGAAGAAAGGGAGGAAGAAATAAGCACACACCCTATAAAAAGTGGAGTGGGACAACAGCACCATCCCATCAGCACTGCCTTCATATTCATTAAAAGTTGGTTTTAAGACAAAAAAAACTGTGAAAAAAGTGCTATAAACGTAAACGAAGTCTCCAGAACCAGTATTTAATGTTCGGTCTTTGAAGAAGTGGCAAGAGAACAAATTTCTTTCTAAGGTAAAAGAAATCCCTGATGTAGGTCATTCTCTGTAAATGGTAGCTAAAAAAAGTCAGGCACCACAATTAAAGGAGGATGGAAAGTGCTCCAAAGAGGATATTAAAGCTTTGTTATACATTTTATTTTTTTACACAATGTAATACAAACACATACAATACTTAAATCCTGTGTGTGCGTTTCTAAAAGAAGTCTCTTATGCTCACCAAGGCTGCATTTATTTAGTCAAAATACAGTAAACACAGTAATATTGTAAAATATTGTTACAATTTCAAGTAAATGTTTCGTATGTTAATACAGTGGTTCCCAACCCTGGTCCTGGAGGCACCCCAACACTGCACATTTTGCATGTCTCCTTTCTTTAACACACCAGTTTCAGGTCTTGGAGTCTCTACTAATGAGCTGATGACCTGAATCAGGTTTGTTTGATTAAGGAGACATGCAAAACATGCAGTGTTGGGGTGCCTCCAGGACCAGGGTTGGGAACCACTGTGTTAATAGATTTTAAAATGTAATTTATTCTTGTGATGTAAAAGCTGAATTTTCAGCAGTCATTACTCCAGTCTTCAGTGTCACATGATCCTTGAGAAACCATTCTAATGTGCTGATTTGCTGCTCAAGAATCATTTCTTATTATAAGTGTTAATTTCTTTCAAAAACATTTGAATGGTAATGTATATTCAAATGTTTGTATTAAATTTGTATTAAATTGTGTAAAATATAAAAAAAATGCATTCATATATTTTTAAAATATATTAATAACATCTTGAAAATATTTTTCATTGCTTTGCAAGCAGAGAACTAACAAAATAGCAAGATGCGATGCAAAATAAACTACATTAAATTACATTATAATGTTCCTGCCATCTATTGTGATATTTCATTATCATTAATTTCATTATTAGCTAGCTAAAATCCATTACTCAGCTGATAAGTGCAGGTTTCTTATCAATAAACATCCCTTTCCTGATTTAATTTTAAATATCTGATCCAGACCATTTTTCTTCAACATGTCATGAGCTTGAAAACATTGCATGCAAAATATAAATAGTATGTAAACAAACAAATTATAATAGCTCTTCTAACTGGACCTCATGATTTCTTTACCACCATCAAATATTTTCAGCCTCATTCACCTCAATCCCACCAACGCTCTCCATCTTTAGCATAAGAATGTCAGTGCATCTTAGTCAGGATAATCTTACCTGTCTCTGAGGTCCATTGGGGTCTGACTCTCCCCGCCGCGGCCGTCCAGAGGGTAGCGAGTGACAGGGCGACTGCACAGGGCTCTCCGCTGATGTTGACTGGCCTTTCCCGCTCCTCCTGGATGCCTCCTCCTCTGTAAGAGGCAGCATGCCTCGTGTAGTATGGTCGCCATGTGACGTCTTGGGTCTGACTGACAGATCTGTCCCTCTATGTCTCCGCCGCTCTTCTCCTTCCTCCAGAGGGCGTAATTCCTCTGGTTCCTCATCCGTAGTGCCGGATGTGGTGGGCTCAGCCCCTGGGAGGTGGTGGAAGTCTCTGAGCTCCATTTCTTTGTCTATGATAACCCACTCTTTGCTGTCAAAGTCCTCTTCTTCCGCAAGTGGGACGGAGCGGATGAAGGCATTGCTGTGGGCTTCCTGGTCCACTGATGCAGAGGCCTCATTACGACCGCGGTCTCCACGGTAACCGTCGACGGACAGCATCTGAGCAGGCTGCGAGGAGTAAACGTGTCGAGAAGGAGAACCCAGGATGTCCATTCGAGAGCTGAGACAGGAATAAATTATGAATTTATAATGCGAAATGATACAAAGAAGAACATATACAAGTACATAAAAATATGACCGAAATATTATGTAATAAATCACATTACTTCATAGGTCAACATTATATGTATTTATATAATTTGATTGGATTATAAACACTACCTTTTAAAAGTTTGGGGTCAGTACAATTTTTAAAAGAAGTCTTTTTAAAAGTAGACTTTTATTGCATTTATCTGATCAAAAACACAATAAAACAGTAATATCGTGAAATATTATTATAATTTTAAATAACTGTTTTCTATTTTAATAGGCCTATATTTTGAAATGTAATTTATTCCTGAGATGGAAAAGCAGAATTTTAATTACTCCAGTCACATGATCCTTCAGAAATCATTATTATCTGCTGATTTGGTGCTCAAGAAATATATTTCTTATTATTAAGGTTGAAAACAGTCATGATGCTTTTTTTCTGATGAATAGAAAGTACAAAATGACCTTCCTGAACAAATGTCTTATTTATTTATTTCAAAACTAAAAATTCTTAGTGATCCCAAAATTTCAAACGGTAGTGTGAATACTCATCTTTATTTGAATAATGCAGTGAATTAAAACTTTACCAGTGAAAAATAGCCAACACGATGTATTATTATCTCTTTATCATTATATTATTATCTCTTTAAAATTTTAACTTAACAGATAAATATCAATGTGCAAAAACAACATCACATTATTATGACTCAAAACAGTAAAATTAAAATTATTAAATGGATAGTTCTTCTTTTAACATCTGATTGGATCAGTCAATACAAAATCTGGACAAATCTAAAGTAAATTTATGACCCACCGTTGTCCATAACCATCCCGTCCATCAGCAGCAGATATGCGGTCAGATTCAGGGCTGTTGACCTGTCGGTACCTGAGCGAGTGCACCTGCACACCCGGAGAGTCAAAACCCCTTTGTGGTGACACAGGACACACACCCCGGCTACCATCTTCCTCTTGACCTCCCTGCAACATAAAATCAAAGAAAATTTAAGTGAAATTGATTTATAAAACTTCAAATGGATTATTATGTTTACTCGGTTGCAGCACCTTTCCAAGGTTAATCCGGAGTTTGTTTCGATTAAAGTCTGTCTCCTCCCATCCATCTGCATCCGTAGGTAACTGGCTGCCATCAGCTGGCCGGCCAGAAGGAATCGGAGGGGCATTTTCCTGGTCACTTAGGTGCTCGTCCTGCACAACGTCATCTGTGTTTTCCCTCTGAAGGTCACCTGGCATTGGGGTCACATTTATGACCCTAAAGGTCAAAGAAAAGATCACAGTCAATTTCAATTAAAAAATAAAATAAATAAAAAATCAGGGTGACCCTGAATGACCTTAAAAATGTTTTGGGGAAACCTACTTGGAAACTTTTTTTTGTATTATTATTTTTTTTTTTATCTGTTTACTGCCAGTAGTGGTGCAGGAATTACATGCTTCACCTTTAAAGAGTAATTTTCTGTAAATGTCACCCAGAGTTTCGAAATAGAGCGTCAGAAGGGGAACTCATTTAAAAGTCATCAGACATTTTTCTTTTTCATGGTAAAATGTTCTTCATGTCCTGGAGCAATACAACAACTCTTCCTTTCTAGAACTGCAATGGCTAAAACAAGTCAGTGACATTTCCATCAGAAGTGAGTTTTCTCCTCTCTAAACATACAAACCTACTGAAAACTACCAACATTGTTCCAAGAAACACTGGATGTTTGTGACCAATAAATCAGTTTTAAAAAAGCAGTAAATTTATCAGTATGCAAATAACAGTAATTAAGTAAAACTTTTTTTCATTGCTTGTGTATTTCAGACTGTAAGCATGCCTTTCATCCATCTGTACGGCTTTTATGTGACAATGTGCGACAAGTAACAAAGCCCCCCGAGACACTGTCTGTTAATTAGTGTGGGATTTGTTAAGTTCCATGCATGTGTATGTGTTACAGTCAGGGATGCAACGATAGGAGTTTTTGGGGCCGATACCGATTTTAACAGACACTTATTGGCCGATTCCGATACCGATATTTGTCACTTCCTCTCTTATTTGAAATTTTGGCATCAAAATAGATAGTATTTTGATCATGTTTTAAATCAGCAAAGTTCAAAAACACCTGCATTAAATTATACTAGCAGTTTTATTGCTGCAGGAAACAAAGCTGTGATTAAAAAGATCAATGTCAGCAAACATGAGGAACCCCAACACAGCAGCTTCACTAGCAGAAGATCTTGACAACCAACTCTCAGAGCTGCAATTAGAGGGAACTGCTGAGAAGGACTGGGAACGCTTCCGGGATATTGTGCATTCTTCTGCACTAAAGGTTCTTGGACCCTCACACAGGAAACAGCAGGACTGGTTTGACGAAAACGATGAAGAGATCAAGGCCCTACTTGCTGAAAAGTACCACCTTCACCGTGCTCATCAGAACGACCCGTCGTCAACAGTTAAGAAAAATGCCTTCAATAACACTCGCAGGACAGTACAGAGCAAGCTTCGCAAGATGCAGGACTCCTGGTTGAGTGCCAAAGCAGATGAAATCCAGAAGTCTGCTGATAGAAACGATGCCAAAATGTTCTATGAAGCCCTCAGATCCTTGTATGGACCTCAGCCCTCAGGGAGCTCCCCTATACTGGACTCAGATGGTGTAACTCTCATTACTGAGAGGACTCTGATTCTACAGCGTTAGGCTGAGCACTTCCAATCCATACTGAACCGCCCATCTTCCATCAATAATGAGGCGATTGACAGAATGCCCCAGGCGGATATCAACTACAGCCTGGACGTCCCACCATCAGAGACTGAAACCTTACAGGCCATCAGCCAGATGTCCAGTGGCAAGGCCCCAGGATCTGACACGATCCCAGCGGAAGTCTATAAGACTGGTGGTGCAGTGCTTGTCGACAAACTCACTCAGCTGTTCCAGTCCTTCTGGAATCAAGGATCCATTCCTCAGGAACTGAAAGACGCGTCCATTGTACACCTCTATAAGAGGAAAGGAAATCGTCAAGTCTGCGATAATCATAGAGGAATATCACTGCTTTCCATTGCAGGCAAGATCCTTGCACGAGTGTTGCTGAATCGCCTGACTGACCACCTGGAACAGGGTCTACTACCCGAGAGCGTGCGGCTTCCGTAAAGAGCGTGGCACGGTGGACATGATCTTCGCAGCCCGACAGCTCCAGGAGAAGTGTCAAGAGCAGAATCGTGAACTGTGCACCATCTTCGTGGATCTCACCAAGGCTTTTGACAATGTCAGTCACGAAGGTCTAATAATTAATAATAAATAATAAAGATAATGCGCTTATGTCGAAGTTTGGGTGCCCTGACAGATTCATTCTGATGGTACGTCAGTTCCACGATGGCATGACGGCTCGTGTTCTGGACGACGGAAAAGCTTCAGAGGCCTTTCCCATCACAAACGGCGTCAAGCAGTGGTGCGTGTTGGCACCGACCCTGTTCAGCATGATGTTTTCAGCCATGCTGTCAGACGCCTTTCAGAACAGTTCCTTGGGAGTCAGCTTGAGATATAGGACAGATGGGAAAATGTTCAACCTGCGAAGACTCCAGGCTGTCAACAAGATAAAGGAGACTGTGCTACGAGACCTCCTTTTTGCTGACGACTGTGCCCTGAATGCTGGATCAGAGCAGGAAATGCAAGCCAGCATGGACAAATTCACAGCAGCATGCGACAACTTCGGCCTCCTTATTAACACAAAGAAAACCGAAGTGATGCACCAGCCAGCTCCGAAAGCCCAATACGAAGAGCCCACCATCAAAGTGAAGGGATAAAAGCTGCAAGCAGTGGACCATTTACATACCTTGGCAGCACCCTCTCCCGCGCAGTGACAATTGACATCGAAGTCAACTGCAGAATTGCCAAGGCAAGCTCTGCATTCGGCGGACTGCGGACCAACGTGTGGGACCGCCGTGGAATAAGCCTTGCTACAAAGCTTAAAGTCTACCGGGCAGTAGTGCTGACTACCCTGATGTATGCCAGTGAGACTTGGACTGTATACAGGAGGCACGCTAGGCAATTGAACCACTTCCACACGACTTGCCTCTGCAGACTTCTGAGGATCAGGTGGCAGGACAAGGTGCCAGACACAGAAGTCCTCTCCAGAGCAGGCCTGCCGTCAGTTCACACCCTACTGATGAAAGCCCAGACACACTGGGCAGGCCATGTTGTAAGGATGCCAGACCACCACATACCCAAACAGCTCTTCTATGGTGAGCTGTCTCAAGGAAAGCGATCGCACAGGGTTACAAAAGAAGTGATACAAAGATACGCTGAAAGCCTCTCTCAAGTCCCTGGATATTGACACCACCTCCTGGGAAGCCCTGGCACAAGACCGATCGACATGGCGCATGCTGATCCACCAAGGCTGCCAGACATCTGAAGCTAGAAGGACAACTATAGCACAAGAGAAGCAAGCACTCCGTAAAGCCAGAGCTGCAAATGCTGCAACAGTGGTGCCCACACATGTCTGCCCGACATGCGGCAGATCATTCCGTGCCCGTATCGGCCTTACCAGCCACCTGCGGACACACCGTGGACAGCCCACAACCCGTTAGATGTCTAGGTCCTCTTCGAAAACGATGGACCTCTCTCAAGTCCCTGGATATTGACACCACCCTCCTGGGAAACCCTGGCACAAGACCGATCGACATGGCGCATGCTGATCCACCAAGGCTGCCAGACATCTGAAGCTAGAAGGACAACTATAGCACAAGAGAAGCGAGCACTCCGTAAAGCCAGAGCTGCAAATGCTGCAACAGTGGTGCCCACACATGTCTGCCCGACATGCGGCAGATCATTCCGTGCCCGTATCGGCCTTACCAGCCACCTGCGGACACACCGTGGACAGCCCACAACCCGTTAGATGTCTAGGTCCTCTTCGAAAACGATGGACGAACATCATCATCATCATTTCAGGTACAGAAATAAAGCAAACAAATGTAAAATTAAATACATACTAAACCTTCTCTATTGTAACAGACTTTATTATGATTAATCTTCTAATTTGTTTTTGTATACATTTTAATATTTTTTGTAAGTTTAA